GTACAGAAAAGTCAAAATAATCACTAATCTCGCAAATATGCCCCTAACTTGTTTCATTCGCAGCAGTTCTAGCGAAGCCCTTTCAAATTCATACAGCCGTCGGAGGAGATGGGTTGAACACTTCGAAGAGCTCCTAAACCTACAGTCACCAATGGATGACCTGGTAATATAGTTCGACAACCTGGAAGAACTGGAAACTGACCGCTCCCTTCTATTAAAAGATGAAATCTGAGATGATATACGTCTCTGTCGAAGTTCGAAATCTTCTAAGTACGATGGGATCAGTGCGGAAATTCTGAAGTGCCCAAGCGAAACCCTATTGAACTGGATCCATCTGGATTTTCACAGCATCTGGCATAAGTCAGAGATTCCTGATGGCTGGACGCAGAGCTTGATCATTCCCATATTCAAACGGGAATCGTTCCGATTGCGCCAGATACTGTAGGATCACGCTTCTGCCTCTACTGGAAAAGGTATTCGTGCGAATTCTCCTCGGAGGACTAAAGAACGCAGTTGACGATTCGTTTCGATCAAATCAAATAGGGCTTCGAATTGGATACGAATAACATCCTCGTCTTAAGAAAGATAATCGAACAGGGAAGAAGCTGCCAACTCCCCTCACATGCAGCATACTTTGACTTCCGAGAAGCTTTCAGCTCTGCACACCGCCAGTCCTTCTGGCCAACACTGCGGCACTATGGGCTACCGCAGAAGAGTATCCGTTTGCTAAATGGACTGTAAAGGCGCCATCAAAGCAGAAAGTTATTGTCGGACTGGTTTAACATCAATGGTGGAGTATGCCAAGGAGAGGTATTTTCATCTTTATTATTCAACATGGTGGTGGATTATGTGATGCAGAAGAACGTCGTCCCCAGCAACAGTGAGGGTTTTACAATGAGACGAAGACTCTGCCGAAGGTACTCAGCGATACTCGTAACTGATCTCAAGCACGCTGACGACACTGTACTGCTGGGCGACTCCGCCAGTAACCAGTAGAGTGGCCTCGATGGTAGGCCTAGAAGTTAACCCGATCAGAACGAACATCTTGCTTGCACTCGACGTGACTTACCATCCAGAGATTCAACGGAGTGAAACGACCATCGAGTAGGTCGAAAACTTCAAGTACCTCGGCTCTGTATTGTTAGGAGATAGAAGCTGTGATATAGAAGTTGAGCGGCTCTTATGGCTTTTATCTGCGAACGTTAAGCGACGTTTCAAAGTGTCAGGACCGATCTATCTGCACAGCAGCAAAGATTACTCACTATACTGAAACCCGCCGACTTTGAAATCCTGAGGTACAACCTTGAATTATCAACCCTTCTAAAGCGCCATGAAAAGTTATTGGAAAGTTTTCAACAGCCCTGTTTGCCAATCAGTCTGAAAGTGCGATGGTTCCTTTGAATGAAGCATGAAAAGATCTTTGAGATGACCGGCCTAGAATGCTGTTTGAAGACAACAGAGACCGGTTTCTATCGTTTTTTGACAGAACCATTCAGAGGAAAAATATAGATTTTTCTGAAACCGTTCTCCTTTAGAAAACAAACAGCCGTTGGTGCGTCAGAGGTCAACATCGCACCGTATTCTACTTTAGTAGCTGCTAGACTTGCTTGCAATGAGGCGCATAACCTTTTCCACAGTAACCATCATCGTGGAGATCATTCTGGTGTGCCAAAGCGTCGGACATTATTCTGGGTACTGTGTCCTTGACCCGGATACCCCAGATGACGGTGACAGCAACAACAGTTAGGTTGCCTGTGTCACTGCCTATTGAAGCAGTAAGCCATTTTGTTTTTGAGTCCATCATGCAGCCAATCACCTATTCCAGACTAGTGATATTCTCAGACCTATTGACTTAAGGTTATTGCGTCGAGCCGTAGTACTAATATCTAGGATTAGCAAAATCTCGTCTGATTTTATTGCTGGCCGCACGGCGAGAATAACAGTTGCAGCAGCCGGTCATCTGGGTCGTAGCATGCTGGCTGATGACGGTCATCCTTTGCCCCGGAAATTTTAACGGGCGTTGTCTCTGTATCATGCAGCCCACTGCCGGTTCAACACTTCCAGCTCGAATAAAATTCTACCAGTCATCCATCGTTGCTTTTCTGGCAAGGAAACATACAACCAGAGCTGCATCAGCAATTACTTGTGCATAATATTCTGACCTGCCATTAACCTCTTGTCTATACTTATTTCATGGCCATATAATCATGGCCGTATAATGATGTTGCGTAAGGATGCGATATGCTGATAGGAACAGTTGTTACACAAGCTAATAGACCTGACCTGAGTAAGCCCTGATCTATTTTTTCCTGCACACGTTTTGAGTGAATGCTTGTTTCATTATGAATTTAGTTGATCTTCGTCATTAATGTAATTTAGGACACCCTTCCAGTGAAGACCGAAGCCGATTACGAAAGAAGCTACCTGAAAGCAACATTGATGCTTTGTTACGGATTTGTGGTCATTCACTGTCCTGTTAACCTCTTGGTTATAAAGCTTGAAAACGTTATCATGCGTTTTTTGTCGCCGTACTTCGAAAACCCGATGGTATTAAATTTTTGTTATTACAGCTATGGCGTCCTGTTTGTTTTTCGCAATTTAGCACGTTTGCTCCATCTGACTTTTCTGAAGCTTTCCAATGCACAGAATTACTCCATATGGCCTTTTACTCGATTTAGACTCGTTACCCACAAAACGCAAGTTTTAACTAACGATGTTAATATCCGTTCAGTAACCCTTTAAGGGGAGCAGCGAAATGCGAAGGACGGGAGCGTTGAACTTCATTTGTCTACAGCATAAATTAGTAGTTTTACTAATAGTCTTAAATGGTACGTAAGCTGCCGCTTCAAGGAAGTGTAATTAAATATGATTGTGATTGCTGATATACTTACTGTTTCTATTACTGATGCATCTTTTCCTACACACTTTGAATCACTGAATAATGTAGACTTGGATTAAGCAGCAGATTTAATTATCTGACACCGGTAGAATGCCTAATGACTGCTTGATAGCAAAGCTTTTGCTTTTGGTCAGTAAGGTAAACGTGTTTATCAATTCATTCTGCTATAATTTGTTTATTCTTTAATACATGTCAATCATTCATTTTTTTAGTTGCTTATGTTAATTACAGACTTAATATGCAAAGCTAAATTTATGATTATCTTCAGCTGACGTCATCCTAGACTAGCTTATGTCAAGCTGTTTTGTTATTAAAAAATGCAATATCTGTTTACTTTTACATGTTCAGTGACTGATTCAGTAACCGATAATTCCCCAAAGTTTGGAGTACTATTCATCGCATTCACGTATATTTAAATGGATGTTCATGTTTAGGCATCTCACCGTAGTTCGTTGAAACTATAAGATTATCTGACCCACCAATTTATTTCAAACGTCTGGCACTGAGTTATAGCATGAGTTCGGAATTTTCAGATTCGGATTTTAATAAGCTGCATTAATCCTTTACTGAAGACATGTTTCTCTTCATAATATGTACAGATTAAGCCCGTTATAGGCTAAACAGAAAATAGTAATCGTAGTTTGCTTGTTGGAGTCTGTTAATATTCCTCTATGCTGATATTCCTAATGATTCGTCTATTTGATCCTGATTTACCTCTTATTATTAACGCTCAGGCCCAAAATCTGTTCGAACTGTTTCGTAGAAGGCATCTTTTGTATGATCAGTTTTGGCTGTGGCTGGCTCTGAAGTATAATATTTTGACAAAAGAATATAATTCACATCAAGATGCTCCTTACGGTCAGCGCTTATCGATTTTCCCTATGAAAACTCGGTTGATGTAGTGATGCTGTTTGCAGAGTTTCTTCCTATTTCCTAGAAAATTCAGAGTTTATTCAGCGAGTTAGTTTTCAGCTTGCCCTCCGCTTTCTACTTCTAATTTTTTTCAGTTCATATCCATGTGTGACGCTTTTTACAACGTGAAATTGTGTCTTAAGTGTTTCAAAAATTTGAACACTGAATGCCAATAAGTGGGTTTTTACCAGTTTGATGTTATTTTATCTTGAACTTATGGTTGCCAGTTCGATTGTAGTATAA